TTACCTGTGTCGGGACTACTCCCCGAACCATCTCCACGTTGTACGGCGTCCGCGATTTGATCCATAAGGCGACCTTCGACCGCTCGATCAGATGCTTTCTGTAGGAGGCCAGCATTTCAGGGCAAACGTAGTTTCGTTATGGTAAAAGGCTTACCTTGACGATACGGTACGTTATCCTTGCGCGTCGTTGATACTCATTGGCTTCACGCAGCCTTTGGAGCCGGGAGCCGCTGGGATTTTCAAGCCTATTTCTGAGAGTTCGCACACTGTTGCACCAGAGTCAACCAATCGGCTGTGACATATAAATGGCCAAAACCAACTGATCCACATTATCCCGAATCGTGTCTTGATCACGAACTTCCATCAGTTGGAAATGTCTCCCCAGGAGGTTGCGCGATCGATCCATGAGGAAATCGCCCTCTTGCACCAGGCCGCTAGGAGAGAATTTTCTTCGAAGGCCATCGATTATACTCCTTCCGATGAGAGGACCAGCTACATCGACGACACCCGCAACAGTTTCTTCGATGAAACCTCCATGAGGTGCATGATTAGAGGAAACGTTGTTGGCCATCTTGGCGTGCGATAAAAGAGTGTATTCTGGCCAGCAGAAGCCAAGGTGAGGTGATGGGCAGGGGCAACGAAGAATGCCATATGCAGTTCTTAAATATGTGAACCGGCAGAGCGCTGACTTTTCATCTTCTTTATGCGGCGATTGGTTCCAATGAGGAAAGGAGCCATCAGTCTGGGTCGATCTCAAGAACAATCAGATGCACAAGGACCGGAAAGAGTATGCTTTGTAACGTGGCCTACCTCCAAGTCGCCGATTTTCAGTAACGACATACCGAAAAACAAGGGTAGACGTCCACAGATAGGCTGAGAGAGCGGTGCAAAATAGACAAGTGCCAACTGTCCCGAGACTGAAGGGAGTAGACTAGGCTCGTATCATCGCACGCGTGTAAGTTATTGTGCTTGGGTGAGCTGTATTATGTAATGGCTTCACGACCAACATTGACCATCTACCACATCTTATCCCCCCCATGTCCCAGTACATACCCTTTTTAGATGACCCAATCCCTGGGATGCAACCAGGAGGGATAAACAGAAACGAAAGATGGTGGGTTGAACGGCAGGAGGCCCTTGAACAGGCAGGATACATGCTTCGGCCCCGTTTCCGACCTGGTTGGCAGCCATCGTGGACTGGCACGGACAAGCTATACCTTTTTTTTGAGGATGGACAGAGTATTGGAGTGAGTATCGATATCTCTGACTACTTGTGCTTTCGCTTATGATACCAGCTGCGCCTAGGAATGGACGCCACTCGAATCTCTGACGGAAAACCAGTGATGTTGAAAATGTTACCTAAAGAAGAGGGTCCCTACGAACTTGAAATCAACAAGCTTTTCTCGACTGAGCCCCTTTCCTCCGATCCCAGAAATCATTGCGTGCGCTTACTCGATGTCATTGAGCTCCCCAATGATCCCCCAATTATCGTGCATCCCTTGTTACGTCCGTTTTCCGATCCGCACTTTCAGACGTATGGAGAGTTCGTCACTTTCTTTTCCCATATATGCGAGGTGAGTCCTGTAAGCCCTCGAATCAGCGTTCAACTAACAACCATAGGGTGTCCAATTCATGCACGAGAACCACGTCGCTCACCGGTATGTCGTCATCGCTCTCACATTCCCTTCTCTGATATGGCCTATATTAGGGACTGCACGTTCGGGAACATTATGCTTGACCCGTCAGATATGTTCCCCGAGTCTTTTCACCCCACCGCAATTCATCGAAGTAAGGACTTCCGTCGGAAGGTCAAATGGCATTCCCGCACACGGTGTCCGACGAGGTACCTCCTCATTGACTTTGGTCTGTCCCGTCGATATGATCCCGCCAATGGACCACCACTCGACGTACCCCTCCGTGGCGGTGACAAGTCGGCTCCGGAGCACCAGGATAGGGTAACACGGCATAACCCATTTCCCACCGACGTATACTATCTAGGAAACTTGGTTCGAGAAGATTTCATGCAGGTTTACGCGTTCCCCTCTGCTCCCGATACAACGCGCTGACAGATAAAACCAGAAATACCAAGGGTTTGAGTTCATGGAACCCCTAGTGACCGATATGGTCCAAAACGATCCCACAAAGCGTCCTACCATGGACGAAGTGGTAACTCGATTTTCTGAGATCAAGGGAAAACTCAGCACGTGGAAGTTGCGGTCGCGGATAGCCCGCAAATATGAGCTCTGGCCAGTCACCGCCTGGAAGTCGGTTAACCACTGGTATCATACGGTTGGCTACATCCTTGGTCGCAAGGCAGCCATTCCTGAACCCAAATGAATGGCTCTACCACTGATTCTGCTGATTGTTCCGTTTTTCTTTGGAGTTATAGTTGTCCTGCACACTTGTTATTGCGCAATCCCTTCATACCGGCTGTCTCATCTACTATCAGTTTGATCTCATGTGTGCTTGGATACACTTATTAGGTTTTTTTTTTGGTTATCGCATGTTGGTTTAAAATACGCACGCCTCTATCCTAGCTGAACCTGTTAATTTACGACAAATTCCCCAAATAATTGTATGAACATGAGAAGCTGTCTGGTATCAGCAACGAGGTATTGATATCGTGTCGCTTTGCGATTGGGGTTATTGTGTTACCACTGATACGCCATCTAGTAATCATTCTGTATCGGCGACCCATGAACTAGATAAATCGGAAGCTTGTGAATCAAATCGGTCCTCTTTTTCTTTCTTGTTGTAATCCTTAGCTGGGGACGTCGGTTACCAGGAAGTCATCGAACTGTCACGGAGATATAAATTGTCATGAGAGTACGTCCCTCATGATCGAACCCAGCCTCAGAAAAGTGCAGTGGCGATTGTTGTGAGTCGTCCTAAATCGGGCGTTTTTGATTAAACACAGTTTCTATGGTGACACTTCAAATTCTTCGAGCTCCGTCGTTTGAAAGGAGATGGAGAACGGGGGAGACAACGAAAGAGCGTTACTACAATAATCAGATCAACAGAGGAGAAACAAAATGTTCCATTTCAGTGTCAATTCTGGACTCAAAAGTTCATGGTAATTTGTGAGGTCGTGAAAGGAATTTGCCTCCAATTGCTGTACAAGAAATCCCCTACACGGGAGGCGCAAGCGAAGGAGAGCTCCGAGTCTGCCGGTGACATCCATCTGCCCAGAAAATTCGGAATAGAGAGATGAACAAATAATCTGATGTCAGGGAGAAGAGGACGTGTGGCGGGGCATGGCCGTGCACGGCCGGCCTGGAGATGTAAGCAAGCGAGAGAATAGAGACGACTCATTCTCTTCACAATACAGCCCGACTACACCGTGCGGGCAATACAGCTCGCGATAAAGGGAATCATGCAGTAAAGCGGCAGTGCCCAGCCAGTCACCAGTACCACGTCTGGAAAGGTTAGTTCCATAGTTTTGATGGCCCTCCAATATCATAATGGGCCCGGACATCCTGAGGCGTCTGCCATGACAAAAGGGTTTGATTGCATTATAGAGCCAGAAGCCACGATAAAACATACAAGGTTCAAGACAATGTTTGGAGTACATGATAAGTATGCCTTTTGGAGGAATTGAACAAAGAAAGGACCGTCCATCCGTGTAGGACTACGCACCTGCAAGGAGATGCTAGTGTAGGTGCGAATGAACCCCAGGATGGCCGGCCAGCCAATCAACAAACGATTATCGGAGTTTGAAGTGCCAAGCGCGAGTGGCACACTCCCGGACTGCGGCCCGGGAGACCTCACGTACACCCGTCTCTATCCCCGCCTCACTGGGCCTCACTAGGCCTCACTGGTTGCCTTGGCATATACGGTTGTGATCCGTCTCCCGCCTACGTTATTCCTCTGGAAATTGAAAGGCTGTTCCTCCGCCCCTCTGGTGTCGTGTCCGGCCAGGGGACCTAGTGAGAGTTCATCTCCTGGCACATATAATCTTATTTCGCATGTAGGCGCGCCGTCATCCGTAAGCTATGTGTCATTGTATTATGTTCTGGGTCAAAGTCACTTTGCAATGTCGAACAAGAATGAACAAAAAAAGGCTGGAAAAATACCCGCGTCTCCAAGCGCGTCTCTATCAATAGATCAATACTGTACGTCGACTTCTAAAGCGCTGCTAACCCCTGATAAGCATCGGAACTCTTCATTGGATCTAACGAGTGAACGTGGGTGTCAACGGATGCGCAATGGACTCGGCGTCCGTAGTATTTTCCAGGTGGCCGCAAAATATACACGATGCTTATTCTCGTCTTCCCGCTAAGTTGCTCTGCCTTCAACCAACCACCGAGCCTCATATCTCACCCCACACAATACACTGATATCCCCAAACTTTTCCTTAGTTTCTCGGACTGTTTCGTGGTTGTGAAAGGCTGGGGGGGTAGCTCGCACGTTTTCATCGTACGCTGTTGGTATGCCACGTGTCTGCCAATGTTCGGAGTGGGCCGGATGCCAGCGAGACGTCGAAACGGTCGAGTGAAAGATCGCCCGCAGTAACTCCGTGATTTGTCCGAAGCCATCGTGTATGCAGTGCAGAGGAAGACGATCCTCTCGCCGGTGGTTGCTTGTTGGACTCACCGTATACCCAAGCGACTGGACACGGAATCATAATGTTTCGGTTATGTTGCTGCCCAGCCTAAGCTTCGCAATGGACCTTGTGGACATTATACTGTATGTGTACGACGAACGAAACTTATCACAGGGCCGCTGGCCAACCGTAACCTGAATACATCATGGACACCTCGCTCTATTCTTACCGTCGTACCTCGCTTGTATTTTTACTATTTTCTGTAGGCCTGTCACCTTCGTTCTTGGCTTCTTGCGTCAACCAGTCGTCCTATCAAAGACATCCACCTGATACGGTGGCATTGAAGTGTATTATTATCAATGAACAATGCAATCTAACGGTTTTATCTTTCATCTTGGTTATTGGCCAACTTCAGATGGGGGAACTTCAAGACGTGAAAACAGGAGAGCAAAAAAGATTCCCATCACCACATTCGAACCAGTGAACTCGTCACACTGACTTTCAAGGTCAGGTTGTGATTTTCAAGATCACATCACTAGTGACGCGCTCTACCAGTTGAGCCAACAGGGCATGTTCATTTTGTTACACTCAACATTATGAGCCGTCAAGCTTCAAGGCAAACGATGAGCTTTCCCTCGTCTCACGAGCCTCGTTCGCGATCTGCATAGGTTTTTATAGTCCGCCGGGTACTATTGTCGGTTGTCGGTTCGCACAAACTCACAAGAGTCGCAATTAAGGGCACGTCTGGTGTTATCGGAGTCCCTCTAAACAATCC